AACCCTTAACTTGCTTGTTAAATTATTACTAATATTCACTAGAAGAAATGATAGATTGATTATAATAATGATTTTGTTTTATGTTGCTAGATAATTCACCATGAATTCTGTAGTATTTAAAATCAGATATCTTTTAATGTTTGTAATAATGCTGTAATAATTCTGATACTTCTTCCTCTTCAATCACTTTTATCCAGAGTTTTTCTAAATCTGTTACAGTGAGAATCTACCTGTCTACACATTCCCCAGGGCTGACCATAAACAGGTGGCACTGGTGCTCTCTCAGCCTTGCTTAGTTGAGGGATGCTTTCTGCTAAATTTGTATTGCAGGGACCACTTTGGTTGTATCTCCATGACAACACCATATTCTGGGGGAAATTCCATCAGTTGTCTAATGGCTAGAATTCCATAATGCCCAATGACTTTTGGGAATGATTCCTCCAACTGTTTGGTTATCCTGGGCTCCTTTGAAGTAGATATTCTTATTTCTGAGGTAAATGGACTTTTCCCATATCCTACCAACAGACTAGCTTAATTCGCCAGCAATGTAGCAGCATTAGCTATGGCATACCATTTTTCATAAGAACAAAATTGTTGCAGTTCTAATAGCTTAATTAGTGGGTTTGGGGTTGGTGGGTATATAAGTGTTAGAACACTGGCCTAGCACATGTGAGATCCTAGGTTCAATCCCCAGCAACACACACTCACACACAAACACACACACACACACACACACACGCACACTATATTGTAAGAAAGTGGTTTTTTTCTCATTTTCTAATTTCATTCTTCCTTTTTTTTCAAATCTCTGAATAGAAATTGAGTTAATAGCCATATAACAACTTGTTAATGTGTCAAGTTCTCAGTTCTACAACTAAATTGTAATCAACACACATGGGCAATGGATCTGAAGGAAGCACCTAATTTTCTTCCCATTTTGCTTTTCATAGATAGTTACGATAAAATATCCTGTGCTGTGAACACTGCATTTTAATGAATTTTAATATGCAAAATCCTTTTGGAGCATTTTTAAAACCATTCTTTTAATTACTGAGATCAGCTTGAAGCAAAGGATTTGAAAAGCTTTGCCAGAGAAGAAAAAATAGTATTCTAGAAAAAGCCAAAGTAAAGTGTTTTGACTTTATTTTTCTTCTGTTAAATTCATGGCAGTATTATGCTGGCAATTACCATCTTTCAAGTCAAAACTTTAAGAATCAGTAAATATCAGTTAATCAACAGCATTGTGCAACTCACCGAGAAAGATTCAAAGCCTAAGTGAAGGGGGAGAAATTGAAGCATCTCTGATAAGCTCCCAAAGATCAGTCCATCTGAAAAATTGGGTGGAATTGGAATAGAATGGAATACCATAAGTAAGCAGAGCAATTTCTTCATCTAAATCTTTTTATCCAGTATTGAATTAGAATAAAACTAATTCAGTTTGAAGTAGGTCACTTTCTGATCTCTCCAAAAAGATGTTTACCATGTGTACATGAGACTATCTTTCTTGGAATCAAATATAGGAGAGTGTGAACTCCCAAACACTGAATTTATCATCAGAAAGTACGTTTAACAAAATTGTCACCTGATTGAAACTGTCAGGCAATAAGGTTCTCAGGTCATGATAGTGATTTTCTCATTTGTATTCATTCCCTTATGTAGGAACATGTTCACTTCTGGATCCAATAATTCACCAGGAAAATTTTGTCAATCGCTCCCAATAGAGAACATTTCCCCAAATATACTATTCACTTTGTCCGTGAAGCAAGAAAACAAATGACAATCCAGAGATGCATAACTGATTGTTTTCATTATTGAATTTAAGGAAAAATACTTTGAGTTGTGCCTTTATAATATTTCTATTATTTTCTAACTCCCTGATAGTTTTCTAGAAAGGTGAATGTTTAGAGTAATAAACCATCAGATCTCATTTTGTCTTATTGTGAATAAATGTCTACTTCCTTTCATTCAAATTGTGAATTTGGAAGTCATTTTAAATATTGCTTAAACCAAAGCCTTAAGTATATTCTAAATTTTAAGTGACTTTAGTAATTTAATGTGTTCTTTTTTTAAAAAAATGAACAATCAGCATTAAGAGATTTAATCAAACTTCATCACATATTGCCTGTGTGACCTTAGAAAAGTCACTTATCTTCCCCAGTCTTCATTTGTGTGATGGGCGACCATGACAGTAATGCAGGAGACTTGTGCCTCAGAGAAGTAACGTCCCAAAGGAGGTTTGGAAAAGTTCAAGGAAATCCAGAAATAAAAGTGATACAAACAGCAAAGAATTTGCTGTTTTTGATGTTATTATCTGGCCTTTGCCCATAGGCTAGGGAGGCGGATTTGGAAGAGGAATGGAATACCACCACAGAAACCTGACCTGATCAACATAAAATATGGAAATCAGTTCTGTGACTCATAGCACACAGAACATTATAGAGACAGGGTGGTGGGCAAATGGAAAACTGAGTACACCATGCAGTTCGAAGAAGCACACAGGCATCAAGTCACAGTTACAGTAGAGTGGGTGACAGGGTAAAGCAAAAAGTTTGTTGGGGCCTCAATTTCTGCCCATCCCATCTGTTTGCAGTGAACACCTGCCACCTGCTTAGTCTCTGTCTGTAACAAGTGACCTCACAGGAAGACCAGAGCTTCTAGAAGCACTGGTAATAAGAGGCCTTGGTTCATTCCTTTGTTTTTGAAGCTCTGTTCTGAAGAACTGAAGCTGAAGAGAACGGCAGAAATCTTATGTGAAAGACAACCCACTTGTTCGTAGTATACCGATTGTTTCGGGTGTGGGCATAAGATCTAAGCCAACCTGGTAAATATAAACCTTGGTATTTTGCCAAGAATTTGGAGATGAAGAGGCTCTTTTTTCCTCCTGAGTAGAAGAAATGTGTGTATCCCTGGGGCTGCTGGCAGACATCTTGGCTGTATGAGAAGACCCAAGTGAAAGACCCAGAGGAGAAAACTTGGCATCTGAAAGGAAGAAAATCATCTCCTGGAATGGCCGGGAGTTATGTGAGTCAGCAGATTTCCTATCCTCTCCCCACACTTCTTTTCTTAAACCAGTTTAGATTTGAATTTCCATTGTTTACAACCAAAGACATCCTAATGGTGAAATAACTGTTCTCTATAACCTGAGCTCTAGGGTCCTTGGTCTTCTTTAACTTGCTTTGGAATTTCAGGCTTCCCTGTGGGACATGATTGCCTTACATGTAAAATCTGAAGATTAGATGGGGACATAGTTACAATTATTTCAATATCTAGAAGTCAATAATACCCATTAATACGCTGTCAAACTCATATCAAAGTTTAGTTAACTAACTCTAGACTGCCTTGAGGGTAAAATTTGGTGGAAAAAAAAAGAATCAATGCCTGAAAGCCAAGGGAGAATAAAATGGAACAAAAGGTGTCCAAGATAAATGTCCCTGGCTTTAGAGATTCAGCCATTGAAATTGTGAATCTGATGTTCGTCTTTTCTGCTTAAGAAATACTATGATCACTAATGGAAAATATGACCACAGTGATGTGGAATCAAGGATGATATAAAGGTGTGGGTACAACATTCCCTGGGACTATACAACCCAGACATAAAACAGATCAATCCCTGAGAGGAGAGTTAGGGCACGTTGGCAAATCACGGAGTGTCAAAAAAAGAGTCAGTCTTCTTTAAAACTGATACAGTTCTTCTGTTATCCATGGGACCTTAGAGAATGGCCAGCATTCCTGGCAATGCATTAACATCAATTGCATGAGAATTATGTTCAGAGATATTTCAATTGCTTCTCTATCTCCTTTCCTTAACCATTCTATCCTGCATTATTCTTGTAAATAACTAAACTACAGACCAAATAATTCAATTGTATTGTTACCTCAGTGTAAATTGGTAGCATGAAGAGACCACAATGCATTTTGTATGACAAAATATGCCCTTGCTTGAAACCAAATCTGTGGATGGTACTTTGTCCACATGAATTGAGGTCTCTTATCTATTCTGGGGTTAGCATCCCTGCATGATCTGAGTGAAAGCCAGTTTCTGCAACCCTTCCTAGGAGCACAGGTGATGGCCATCTATGCCACCATTGTCTGCTCTCTGAGTCATCTTTGTATTGTAGTTCTCCTGGTGCCCTTTCTTAAAGACACAGGGTTTATTTTTGCAATGGTACCTCTCCTTTCTTCTGCCTGTAGGTGTCAAGGTTTACTCTTTCTGAAGTTCTCCTTGAGAGAGCTAACCATAGAACACAAACCTATGTCTAGCCAGTTGTCACTATGTGGTTAAAATAGGAAACTTAATTCTTGATTGCCATTCAAAATACACTTATTGTTATAATACTAGGAGAATTTACTCTGAAAACTAACAATCTTCATGTATCTATTGGAAACTAGCTTGGTTTAATATGCTGTAATGGTCACCAGAATCATACAAATAATTGTTTCATATTTTATACTTATAAATCAAGCAAATATAATTTAAACTCACTGTAGCTTCTGTCTTTTCATCTATTTTTAGAATACAAATAATTTGATAATATGGCTAGTATTTTAGAAACAGCTTTAAGAAGTATAGAGAAAACTTAATAGATGACCAATTTCATTATAACAATGATTAAAATTTAAGCATCAAATAATAGTCATCATTCAATTCACTCAGGCACACATTCGCTGAGCATCTGATGTGTGCAAGGCACAAGGCTGAGAACTGTGAAAGGTACAATGATAAATAAGCCCTGATTCTTGTCTTCCAGGAGTTTACAGAATAGAGCTGACATCTTCCAACGGTGTACAAATGAAAAAACCTAACAAGATTCTGGCTGAATAGGATAAAGACCATGACAAAGATATAAGCAGTGCACTTTGGGTAACAGATGAAGGGGTGGTTAACCCCTTCAGGGGAAATTAGTACTAGCTTCCCAGGGACACTAGCAAATAATTAGTAAAGAAAAAGGACAGAGGAGGACAGGGACTCAAATGATGAAAGGTGTCTACTAGAAATCCATGCTGTCCACTGTTGTTTTTGCCTTTACGAATGATGACACGACACAAAAATAAACTCTAAATAAACACAATTTTATTCCTCCCTTAGGTTCTACTCTACTGTGGAGGCGGCATAGATCATGGTAGAAAGAGGACGCTGTATGTAAGAACTAAGGACATTTCATCAATTTTCAAACTTTGACTTTCCAAAGAAATTATTTTAGTGCATATGAATGGAAATTTGGGGGGGGGGCTATAAATTGGGTTGCTGCCTGCCATTCACATAAGTCAAGTAAATAAAGTTCCTTAACAGAACTCAATGTGGTAAGCAGAGCCTGCCTGCCTCACAGATCTCAAAACAAATATCATTTTCCAAATTTACAAGCTCTTATGCCATTGACCTTCATGCTGTGGCTTCTCATGACTCTGCCTTTGTTGATATGTTCTGCCTTGCAGGAATGTCATTTTCTTTCCCTCCACCCTTCCCGTGGCTGACCATTTGTCAAAGCTTAAGAATCGTCCCTTTGGGAAGCTTTCAGTGACATCTTCTTGTGGAATATGTAGGCTAGGAAGTGACACCTGCTTAGATTATTTAGGTAGTAAAGAGTTCGGTACCTTTTGTAATACTTAGTCTATTGGTATTTGTCTTCCACTAGGCCGTACAATCTCCGAAGATCAGACATGTGTGTTATTTTTATTTATTTTAATTTACCTATTGATCTTCAGTCAGAAATAGTAAATGCATAGCACATTTACCCCGTCCTTCTTTTCTCACAGCAGACAGCAATAATCCATCACCACAGTATTTCTTACTGAGCTCTTTCTTAAAACCCTTCTCATCCCAATTCTCCAGGCAGATGCTGTCAATCATTCAGAGATGGCACAAAAATCCTTGTGTCATTTGCCATTAACAAGCTCTAAATCCCCAATGAATAATTAATACATCAAAGATTGCCTCCTGTTTTCCTAATACCATACCTGGATCTTGTATAGTAAGTACATACTATGGTCAAGTTACTTTAATAGGTGATGTATATATATATATACATATACACACATATATATAGTAGTGACACATGACATACAGCTATATATAGTGACATATACATGTATAGTGACACACACTATATAAAAGATTTTATATATATATATATATATATATATTACTTGATGTACTTCTGAGAAGAATATGTTTATTCTATGCATTAATTTCTCTACTTCTCCAGATTAAAAAAAAAAAAAAACAGATGTTGAAGACTTCAGGCACATGACTAAGGCCATGCTAGTGATCTGGATTATAAGTCATGGCTATTTGACCTGCAAGTCTAGGCTTCTTCCATTATCTATAAGAAGCTTGGTTTGTTTTGCTTTTTGCTACAAAACCATAACTTACAGCAACTTACACTCAAAGACATATCTAGCCACCTATGTATGTGTCCTACCTGGCTGCCTGTGTCCTGTGCCAGAGTGAAAGGATAGATAAATCAGCTCTGAGGAGGTGGATGGCAGGGCAGGTGGCAGAGAAGGCAGAAGCAACTCGGCTAAATACAAATATCAGGGTCTTCATAACTCTAGTGGAATTGGTATTTTCCCTTGCCTTTTTCTAATCATGTTTTCTATACTGTTTCTCATAATTGCCCTGTGGAAGTTCTGAAATGGTGGCTGCTTTTCTTACTATAAACACTCTCCTGTCACACAGATGGGTTATTTCTATGTTGTTCCTGAGTGCTGGACTGTTGTTGATCATTGATTTTTTCTTTTTTATTTTTTTTTCTATCTCCAAAAAGGAGCTACAAGGCATTGCCTTTCAAAGAAAAAATAAGAAATAAAGAAGAAGTGGAGAGAAAGGTAAACCATACACATCTGAAGAATTGTATGGACTTTGTAAATAGATTTGTTTCCAAAGTCCTTCTTTTAATCCAATCAAAACATTTGAGCAAGCTGAATAGTGTCTCTATCATTTAAGGAATTAGCTTCTATTTTACAACAGAAACACATCATTTTGAAGCCTAATTTAAGGTGATCTGTCTTTAAAGTGAGTTACTGAGAGTGCAGGAGCATCATAGAAAGCAAAATGTGTTCCTTTTCTAAGCGTTTTCTCTTTTATTCTCAGTGCATGGTCTTCTCCACATGGCCTGGGCTTTGAATAGACTTCAGTTCTCAATCAGCTTGGTCACGTCTTTCATCTTTCAATTTTTGATTATATTAATATCCACAACTCCCCTGACTTAAATATCTGCCAATAAACAATCTAAGGAAATAACTGTGAAGTTGTGAAGTTCAGAACTGGAATTCATAACAGCACAGATATGGAAAACTGTTTCCCTCACTACTGTCCCCAATGGAATTTTGGATTCTTATCTGGAAAAGTCCAGCTTTTTTGTAAAGCCCACTCTGATTAAATAGAGTCACTTATGAACTTATTTGCAGGTACAGAAAGCCAGGAGTTCTCACTCTCTTCTTTTAAATTAATCCAGAAGACAAAAACCACTGGAAATCTAAATTTCCTTTCTAAAAAGTGTCTTCCATGCCTGAAAGTGAAACATATTATCTTATACCTAAATAATGCTGAGTTCTGTATTTTTAACTTTAGGGAATGAACAGTTTTTTTAATTAATTTGTAACTCTGAGCACATATGTTACCAACTCTGAATAGTTTAACTCACTTCTGATTAAAGCATGGGGCCAAAGAGATAAAGACTCTTAGACAATCTTAGCATCTTTCTATTTGTCTACTCTTGGAATCCAACTGTCTTAACCATTGATGCTTTGAGAAAAAGGAAAAGTCTGTGGAAGGAGAAAAGCAGAAACACCAAGACTCCAGGGAAAGAGAGGCTCATGGGGACTTTCTGATTGATAATATGTCTCCTGCACTGATTTCACAAGAATCCACAATATGGAAGATTTTTTGTTTTGTTTTGATTTTTTTCCAAATTGTTCTTCCAGAAACATCCAAGGTCATTGTAAAAATTTTCCTCTGACATTTTTTAGGAAACATTACTAGAAATGCATTCTATGAAAAGTCTTATGTTGGCAGATAGGCATTAGATTGGAAACTTTAGGGGAAGGTAACTGTTGAAAGGATTTTATAGTTTTGCTAAGGGTAGAGAATATAATAAGCAGGAGAAAAAAAAACTTATCCCTTACTTTGCAGTATATTCTACTGCTGAGTAAAAACTTACACATGCAGTATTAAATTTGCCCTCGTAATCATTGTTTTATTGTATCTACTTTCATAACGCTTTAGGTAAAGGGACAGATATTATGACCCTATTTTAGATGAAAAAATATATAACTGAGACTGTCAGAGACATGACTGTGGTAGGTTGCATCATTGGCTAAATTTCTCACCACTCCTTGTATCCATCCTTTTTTGCCCTGTGACTTTCAGTTTCTCTTATAAAAGAAATGAAAAATATTACCCCATCCCTTGACTCTGACTTTGGCCTGAACACTTGCCATAGTCAACAGAGCAAGAAAGAAGCGAGGTTGTTCTAATTCTGAGTTTCAGCCTCAAAAGGTCTCATACATTTACACTGACACTATTGAGCCTCCACCAGTACCACCATGTGCCCAGGCTCACCTGTGGATCCAGGAGAAAGATGAGAGGCATGCGGAGCAGAGCCACCCTGGCTGAGCATGTCATGAGTAGCCATGCTGTTAGCCTAGACCAAACATGCTTGTGTCTCTCCAAGATGTCAAAATTTATTGAATAAGAACAAATTCAGAGGCTACACCACTTTCAGGAGTGGCAGTTCACTGAATACTTGTGAGTCATCTGGTAGTCATAAGCCAGGAAAATGCAAATTATTTTATTCTAATCTTAATTTTAAATATCAAGTCACACATCACATTTCATAAAATTATGTAGATGTATTTCAGATAGGCTAAGAAAGGGTTAAAGGCAGCCATAGGGGTTCAGCAGGATGAATTCAGAGCAAAGGCAGATACCAATGCAAAGAGTCATTATAGGTATTCAGATAAGATTATGAACCAGCCAAAGAACTTGTTCAGGTGCAGAGCTGTCAAAGCCCAGGTACTCATCCTAGGGAAAGGTCCAATGTGCTGGCAGTTTCGGGGTGTCAGCTGTGCAGGGTCATCACAGGCAGGAGAAACCACACTCTGCTGAAACCCCAGGACAGAGATTCAGAAGTTTGTCTCTGTGGTAATTTTCCTGGGCAAGGATCATGATGAGAATCAGGTGATGAGGTCAAGATGCCCCACCGTGTCCAGTCTTAGGGTGGGGCATCTCCTTTTATGGGCCTTGAGTGAGGGGGTTCTTTTGTTTGGTGATCTGGTTTATTTGATCATGGGCCTGCTTTTTCTAATATGAGTTTGATATGTCCATGCATCCATGTGTTTCTGATTAATTTAATAAGTCCACAGGTGGCCACTGTTATTAGCATGATTAATTTATTTATCAGTTTGTGCCTTATGGTTGTGCCAGGCAGATGGGTTTTGTTTGCTTTTACAAATAAGATATAAAGTCATTCTACCTCAGTACTTTACTCAAAATGGAGGGCCTTTAGCCAAACTACTGCTTTACAAATGGAGTAACTCAGGTTTAGGCACAGTCTGAGAATTGCTATTCAATAAACCATGGAGTAACTCCTGTTCTCCACAGAGCCCAACCTAGATAATCTGACCTGGAATAATAAGTGAAGAATAATAAATGGTTGGTATTTTTAAGCCACAGAACTTAAGCCATGGCTAAGTTTTGCAGTACTAACTGGTTGGCACATTGCCCAATACACACACACACACACACACACACACACACACATTTTATATATATGTCATTAGGAAGAGATGGAGAGATGTGGTCTTCCCTTTTTCACTCCAAAATCATTGACATTCTAAGCTGCAAGATTGCCTAAATTGAACATATCTGCTGTAGACAGTTTTTAGGCTATGGGTGCCTTCATTTAGAAGAAACTTTCTTCTAGTAAAAGGTGCCTAACCAAGTCCAGCTTACCTCTCATTATTCCCGGAGGCTGATTACACTTATTGTCCTCTTTTCTCCATATGCTCCATCCTGGTGGCTCACATTTCCCTCTCAATTAAATCTTCTACTTATTTAACACTCCACTTTTAATCCATCCACTTATGACTCTATTTATGACCCCCTACTGACAAATTCTCTGCTTATCTGCCCTTAGCATTCTGTGTGAACCTAATCCCACACAATTATATCTTTATCCCTACCCTTAATGATTCTATGCCCTGCCTCCATAGCTCATTATGACAGCCACATACAAAAATCAAGACCTCTCCTTCACTGGTATACCCGTCAACATACAGGTGAATGAATAAACAAATAAATGCAGGAAATAATTAAACTCATAGAGTATGAGTCTTACAAGAAGGCTAAATTAACACTACATCTCTTTTACTTTTGTATAATTGCTTCCCATCTCCAGGCTGCTAAAGAAGCAAATACAAAGATTCTGTGACATGATCTTGCTCTACAACAGATTAGTGGAAAAGAAGAAAGAATCATACATGAACCAGAGGGAAGAATGCTTCCACTCTCCACCAGGTGTCTCCTCAGGTTCAGTCATTTTCAGCCTCTATAAAATCTGGAGATGTAGCTAGGTCTAACAAGTCAGCACACACAGAGCATGTCCCCAGTCCCTCCAATACTGCTGGGTTTGTTATATGCCAGAGCAGGGCAGATGAAGATACAGCTTCAAAATTTATTTTTCACACATGCAATGTGAGCACAACTGTTCTAAAGAACATATCTTTTGAAAATATAGCTCATGGATCATTACTTATCAAAGATTACCAGTTTTTCTTTAAAAATTTAAGTTCTACCTCAGGGAAAAACCTAATTTCCATTTGTATTATATATCCATTACTTTTGCTATATAGAGCAGTCCCCACTTATCTATGGTTTTTATTTCTGCAATTTCAATTGTCCATTGTTTACTTAAGTTCAAAAATATTAAATGGAAAATTTCAAAAATAAACAATTCATAAGTTTAAATTGTGCTTTCTTCTGAGTAGTGTGATGAAATTTTGCTCAGGGTGTGAGTCATCTCTTTTTGTCCAGCATATCCATGAGCATATGCTCCTGCTCTGTAGTCCCTTACTATGCACTTTGATTATCAAATTGACTGTTTCAGTATAGTCATGTTTCTGTTGAAGTCATCCTTATTGCACTTAATGATAGCCATGAAGTGCAAGAGTAGCAGTCCTGGAAATTCATATATGCCAAAGAGAAGTGGTAAAGTGCTTCCTTTAAATGATAAGGTACAAGTTCTCCACTTAAGGTGGAGGTTTGAAGAACTGTGGTAAATTATTGTTAACCTTTTATTGTGCCTAGTTTATAAAATAAACTTTATTATAGCTCTGTTTATATAGAAAAAATGCATAGTGTTCAATACTATCTGAGGTTTTGAGCATCCACTCAGGTTCTTGGAACATCTTCCCTGTGGAAAAAGGGGGACTATGGTATTCTTAAATATTCTTTTATTGGAACTTATGCATTTTCCAGAAAACAAATGAAAAAATAATAAAATAGTACTTGCCCTGCTTTTTCTTCCCATATAATTGCTGCACTCAGAATTGTTGTAGACATTTATGAGCATTGCCCCAAATCATTATCTTAGAGAAGGGTTGTCATAACCACTAACAGCTACTTTCTGGGTTCAACATATTGATGGGTTTCCCAAGATTCTCGGAGGGCCAGGTCATTAGAACTGTGTAGAGAGGGAAAAGGAGGGAGGTGAATCTGCCAGCTTATTACTTTTATAAGATATGGAATGAAATAAGCGAAAATAGGTTTTTGAAGAACATGTGTTATAACTAGTCCCTTCTGGCTAGAAGATTCTGTATCATGTAGACCAGATTACTATTTTTATTATTTTTTAGGGTTTCCTCTAGATATTTATTTTAACACAGACCCATTAGATATGTGTGTATATGTATGTGCATGCATATGCATGCCCGTATGTGTGCAGGGAAAATGTGTATACTCACATGTATAAAAACATGATCCACAAATGAGATCGAGAACTGCTTTGCCTTGGGCACTACATTTTAGGGATGACTTTGCCTGATAAGAAAGAGTGATAAAGCATTGTTTGCTACCCATTCACTAGTATCCCATAGAAATCCATGGAATCTAAGGACATCACACATCAATATGCTACCTGTGACATAATCAGGTAGATCAGAATGAGGAGGGGGGCAGAGCAGGCATGCATAGTGTTATGGGTTGAATTGTGTCCCCCAAAGGACATGTTTATCAGTCACAAGTCTGACAGTCCCAAGATCTTATTTAGAAAAAGAGTTTTTACAGAGGCAATCAAGTTAAAAATGACTCTTCAGAGTGAGTTTTAATACAAAGTGTCTGTTAAAGAAATGAGACATCTGGACATTGAAATATGTACGTAGGCAGAATGCATTATACAGAGGTTAAGGTGATGTGTTTACAAGCCAAGGATGCCAGAGATGCCAGCAACTATCAGAAGCTGGGGAGACACAGGAAATAGATCCTCCCTCCCAGCCACACCTGTAACTCAAACTTCTGGTTTCCAAAACTTGGAGACAATAGATCTCTACGTTTATATCCCCAAGTTCATGGCACTTGGTTACAAAGCCCTTAAAAACTAAAACAGATAGAAAAGGAATAGAGAATCAGTGGTTCTGGGTTGGTTGATAGGAGTAATTCAAATTTTGTTAAGAACTTGGACTCGACTTGTGGTTGGGTTGAGTGTGGGTTGAAGGAGGGGAGGCAGAAAAGGCAACACTGGTTGAAGGCTGCATGGCTTTCTTAGTGAGGACTGATGAATTAGGTATAATGACTTCACTAACACTGTGGTAGCTGTTTTCAGTAACTGACTGGTTATGTGCTGAATCCTGGCTTCTTATGAAACTTATACTTTTAAGCATAGACAGATATTTGCTAATTTCAGCTGCTAGTATTTATGGCTTCATGATTGTCCTAGCGATAGTCACTAGTTCCTCTAACACCCTCAACTAACCCCAGTTAGCCATCAAATCCCATGAAAATGCGTTAGTTAGCATGATCGTTTATGCTAATCGAAAGCAAACAAAAAACAAGACACACAAACTCAAGGTAGAACAATAACTTTTTTAAAATGTCAACTTTATGTTGCCTTTTGAGTTGTATCTTTTAAGATAAGACAGCAGTATTGATAAGTTGTGTGTAATTAGAATCCATAGACACTATGATGAAGTTCAGTTTTACTCACTGTATTTCTCCCAGCTCTAAAGCAGGCCTGGGGCATAATTTTGAGCTTACAATAAAAGCCTGGATACTGGCATTCCTATTTTTGGTTACTGTTTTTTAGTCCTACTGCCATGATCTATCTGGCATATACTCCTATCCTCCCATCCACATTTTTTATTTTTGTAAGATATGAATTGAAATATTGGTTTGTATGAGCAATAATGATACTATTTGTAAATCTGGTCTAAAAACCATGTGGTATGAGCAGAGAGGTTTAAGTGTTAAAGGGAGTGTGAGTGAAAATGTCAGCATATTCAAAAACATGTCAGTTTGCTACCTCTGCTTACTAGGCAGAAGTACCTCATAGCACACACAATTCCATTCAGATTTCAAGTCAGCCCAGTTTAATTGAATAACTATTAAGTGCTGCCCAAGCATGGAATGGTGCTTTGGCAATTTATGCAATGTTTCTCAGATTTTCTTTGCTGGTTTTTTCTTTGTTTGCTTTCAAGAAAACAAGTATTGCCAAATTGCTTCCTTGATCATATCTCTTTCTTGTTAAAAAAAAAATAGTGGTTTTAAAAGTAGTAACTATATTCATGAAATGTTGGTAAGTGTCAAATTCCTAGGATATAGGAATTTGATCTTTAGGAATTTTGATTATTAGGCTTTTGGGTTTCAGGATGCTGCACCAGAGCCAAATGATAAATACTGTTGACTATAACACTTTCCAAGGATGAAGGCTGTGTGTGACTACACAAGAAAGAACATACCTGGAAATGGAGCTTCCACCAAAATAGAGTTCGGACCCTTAGTGAGGCTACCCAGGGAGATCGTTTTGATCATCTTAACTGACAGGATTCCTGGTTCAAAATGCAACCTCATCCATGTTTTCTACAAGTAACAGAACGAATGCTAGTGACTGGATTTTAGGAAATAAAAATAAACAAGGGCTGCAGATTCATATTTGGATAATAAGAGTTTCTGCCCTCTAAATCTATCGTCCATACTTTTTTCTCACTCAGATGTCAGAGTGAAATGACGGGAATCATAAATCACAAATGCAGAATTGTTTATGACTCCGTTCCATTTGTTTGTTGTGTGGTAGGAAGCATAGGGGGAGGTAGTATTAGACTTAAAAGTGTGATAGTGTTACTCTGGACCACAGGGGAGGTTGACTTAAAAAGAATCCATAGAGACTGGAAGTCTCCCATTGCACTGCCTCTGCCAATAACAAAGGCAAGGGTTCTCATGTCATTACAGTACACCTGAGAGTAGGATGAGGAAGGATGAGTGACGGGCAAGCCCTGAGAATAGCAGCCTAAATTTTTCTGAATTTTGTTGCAATATAAGAATCTCTGTGCTTTTGCATTCCCACTTTTAACCCTGAAAAAGCAGTTCCTTTCATTTTTGTAATCCAGCATGTTCTGCACACTTAATTTAAGTAGAAAGAAGTTCCCCGGACAGTAGACTGGGGACATAGAGAAAAGGCAAACTTCAACTTTGAGCATTGCAGGTATCTAGTAATAGCTATGAGAAATTGTGGTTGTAGGTGTAGAAAACGTTGATGAAGCATGGACTATGACCAACTGCAGATAGTGACACAGTGACAGAATTCTCTGCAAATTGTCCACAAGCCTCAATATAGGGAAATACTTAGTCCAAATTATTCCAAGAGATGCAAGTTTAGGGCAGAGAAGGATTAGGAGAGAAGCCAGAACCAGGATCATTAAAGAAAAGTGGATCTAAACAGCTCAGATCAGACCTGCCATTTCTCTCTCTCTCTCTCCTACTCTCCCTGACTCTCATAGTCTGATGGGAGTTTAACAATTCCCTAGGGAGCCAAGAGTTGATACTGACTCTGGAACCACACACATTTGCGGTTGTAAATACATATTTATTCTTTAGTTTACTTTATAGTTAACTTAAGAGTTCACCCATAGTATGAGCCTAGGCATTCTCAGGTAATCCAGTATGCTTATTATGATAATTCAAATAAAAAATTCTCCCCAATTATTATAAATTTTTTCTCTCTTTTTGGTCACCTCCATCTGACAATTATAGATTCCAGTTTCTAGGTGAGCAAACCAGTTTTTTGTTTTGTTTTTTTTTTAAGAAAAGAAAAAGAAAGAAAGAAAAAAATAAAAACAAACTCTTGCATTGTGCTGGCTGACTTAATAAAGGTGTGCTTCTCAAGATATTTTATTCTGAAACTGGCTGTGCCTTAATTGCTGTTCGGATGGGTAGCAATGCAAAATGCTGAGAAAAACAGCATCTGCTTATGAAAACAAATGTTGCTTTTGAAGCTGTAGGTAACAGAACTAGCCACATAGTGGTGAATTCAAGTCATTTTCTTTTAAGTAATGGCAAATACTAAATGTGTACTTTTTAGTCATTCCTCCCTTGGGGAAATGACTGCCGCAGGCTCCCTGCTGACAAAGCTTATCACTAATCCATTTGCCTCCTTTAACAATAAAAAACACTTTCCATAAACTGAAGTGAATTTGCTACATTATAACTCAATCATCAACAAGGAGAATTTTCCTTCTGCATCAGTTGAAAAACATTTAAATTTTTCTCAATTTTGTTGCATTGTAAGAATCTGTGTGCTTTTGCATTCCCACTTTTAACCCCGAAAAAGCAAAAAAGCAGTTTCTTTCATTTTTGAAATCCAGCATGTTCTACACACTTAATTTAAAAAACCTCCCCTATATTTTCAGAAAGTTGACTTCAAATACCAGTACCTGGGAAGGATATGAACTCTGAAATTATTATCTTTGCCCAGTAAAATAAATAAGAGAGAAAAATCAGAAACCAATCAGAAATCAAACTAACCTCCAAGCTTTCTTTTTATTTTTAAAATTTTCTCTCTCTCTTTTTTTAACAAGTGCTCACAACTAACATAGATGCAATTTGGCTGAGAACATACTACCAAGCAATACCCATAGTTTATAAATAACTAGTACAATAGTGGGGCAACTTTTTTTTTTTTTTAAAAAAAAAAAGCAGATGTTTCACAACAGTCATTTAATTTTGGAGGGAAAAAGTCAGCTGTTATTTAATCAAATATTATTTGGCTGTTGAGAGACTATTTTGGAGACTATGAGTAGCTAAATCTAGCCATTGTACTACTTCCCCCAAATTACCCAAGAATCAAGTGTATAATTAGGGTGGAAAATTTAAGGTCTTTGTGCTGGAGTGATAGAAAATGGTGATGTTGTGACTCTAGTTGTAAAGAAGGCCCCATGCAAAGAACAAAACAGAGCAAAAGAAAACAAAACAAAACAATAAGATAGAAAAAAGAAAAAAAAAAAACAAACCCTGCACACATTACACCACAAAACATCCTGAGGTGCTTTAAACCAAGGGCAGTATCTCTAATTCAAGCAGCATTCAGTATTCCTCAGGTGCCCAGGCTCAGCTCCGATGAGGTTCATATCCCCAGAAATAACTCTATGACATTGTAATGTTTTGAGCAACTAATAAAAAAATTTTAAAAAATAACTCTATGATGGGTTAAAACAGAAGTCTCTAGACTTCACTGTTCATTAGAACCACCTGAAATTTTAATCCCAATGTGCTGTCACCCCATCTTCATGAAATCAGAATGTCTAGGGGTAGGAGCCAACTTCAGGAATTTTTAAAGATCCTCCAGTGAGTCCAATGTAGAGTAAAATTTGGGAACCTCTGGGTCACAAAAATTAAAGGTTAAAAGATCACCACAGGGTCTTTCAATGTTCAGGCTAACAATAGTCACATTTTAACTGGAGAGGTATAAGTACAGGTTTCCAGTTCTTTATGTGAAATCCTCAGAGATGGAGGTGTTTCCCCCTCAGAGTTTTTCAGAACTTAGATGTTCTTTAGTTCATATGCTATTATGCAACTCCCTGAGTAGGGTGTGGAGCAATCTGTAACCACATAGACAGTATTCTATAACCACAAAACATTAATATTTCTAAAGGAAGTTGTTCTAAGTGGGAACATTAAAACCACAGATAATCTCACATCAACTGAAGTCCAATTTGCCAATAAATGAATGTTCCCACACTTTTACAAGACAATTATTGTTTTTCAGAGCTTTTGGGACTGCACAATTGTGGGTTAGGGAATGTGGTTCTTTAGTGAGTCAATCTGTCAGGAAACCAAACCAGTATCTAAAGCAACAGACTTATTCAGAGCAACCAATAGCAGTGGTCTGGTGAGGCTGACAGCCTAAATCTGTCCCCTTTATCTCTAAGAATACTTCTTAAACATAATCTAACAATTTTTTTAAAAGCTGAGTTTTTTGTTGTGTGTTTTTAGACATACACACACATATGCACACATTATACAAACACAGATGTAGGTATGTGGGTGGTGCATGATTCAAATACCAACCCATTGGGACCTGTATACCATAAGGAATCAACCAACCACAATCTATAAGAGTAATCAATAATTATAGATTCCATGGTGTGTACCTCCCAAGGCTGTCAACACAAAATTTACAGTCATTGGTGCTACCCTGTTGTTTAGTATTTGTAAACCTCAGTTGTGGTTCAGTAGCTCACAGAGTCCACAGCCCAATTCGTCACATCCAGAATAGAGCATGCTGAGTCAGTTACTGGAAATGGCCTATTGGCTTTCTGTCCTCACCTGGAGTTGCTCACTGTCATTAATCGGATGAGGAAGAGACTCATGGATTTTTACAGAGGAAAGATGCGTGTGGTCAATGAGGACAGGATCAACTCAAAGATTGCAGCTTTTAGTCTAGAGGCATCTAAAGAAAACAGCTTCCAGGCTTGTGGTAAAAGATTCAAGCTGGTTATACAGCTCTGGTGTTATGTAAAGCCATAACTAGGCTTTGGAAAGATCTGATGATAATTGGATATCGAGAGCATAAAGGTACAAGAATAATCATTGAGGATTCATTGAGAAATAATCAGCCTCATTCCATATCCTGGGTATGGTTTATTTCCACCCACTCATCCAAGGACTCCAAACCCCAGAATCAGGTAAAGCCGGCCGGCATCTCTAGCATGGTTACAAACCAACACGTACAGGGTTTATCACAATACAAGAACGACCAATGATAAAAACTACCAATTCTATTTGAAAATCACAGGTAAGTCTTCAGAGCTGCTCACATAATCTCTTCTTCATTGCTAGCTACCTACCTCTAACTTACTATTACACTCAGTATAATTACCACTGTTCTGACATCCTCTCTTCCACCCCTCAGGATGTGAGTCTAGAAAATGAGCCTATGATATTTGAATTCCCTCAGCTTCCTCCCCCACACCTACAAATTGATATGCATCTGCATACGCTTTCCTGTTTTCTTCTTTTTGTTCTCAGTCTTATTTTCCTACTTCCTCCAACAGCTCAGGGACCTCTCTCCTCTTCTATGTTCTGTCTCCCAAATAGTCCCTCCTTTATCTGTAAACATGCTCAAATATTTCCCATCACAAACCCAACAGAAAAGAAAAAAAAAGGAGACATGACCTGAAACTTACCGTAGCCTCACTTGCCTTGTTTTTATAGCTTAGCTCTTGAAAGGGGTGAATGGAAGGTGAAGAAATAAAAGATATTTAACTTGGCCTCTCCTCCCACTAGTACACTGAAATTGTTCTTGCCAGGGTCAATTATCCCACAAGCTAAATTCAATGGACATCTTTCAGTCATCTCATGCTTCACCTCTCTGCAATGTTTTTCATACCTCCCGAGTTGGAGCTGGCCTGTTGTGATGCCACATTCTGAGTTTTTATTATCTCTCTAAGCCCTTCGTTCCCAGTTTTCTGCATGAGCTCTTCCTCAACCTGCCAATTAAATTATCATCATCCCATGGTTCTGTCAAAGATTTCAACTGCATCTTTAATCTCACCCCAATCCATCCTCTTCTCTCCAGCACCATTGACATGAACTTAATTTGGAACATCATCATATCTATTTTGCATTCCAGCAAAAGCCTCCTAACTGCTCTTT